TACTTAAAAAGTACAGCTTTTCCGTAACGCGTATTTTACGCTAGGCAATCATTTGATCCAACGTCRCAGTGGCGTGGCGAACTCAAATACTTTCAGAAGCAAGTATATTTTGCGATACCCATCCATCAACCATAATTTTGTCTCTCAATTGGAAATAGAGTTGGGGGGGGGGAGTTTGCTTTTCACAGACAATTGTACTTATTAGGTAGGTATTATTACCGACTAATGGTTAGTAACCACTGCCTACTGGATACTAGCTTTCGTTTATATTAATATTAGACAATATTAAAATATAATTTTAAGTGTTATTTTCCTAAATTCGTTATTATGAATTTAAATTATTTCCCATCCAACCAGTGTCATCACCAATCACCCACCAAAAAAAAACTGAGAGGCGGCCGCCTCTCGATTACCCCCATCGCCAAGCCACTGCAACGTCGTAAATGAATACTATATGCAGTATGCGTCACGTTTTAAAATTTTTATAAAATTAAATTGTTYACCTATTCACATTTCTTCTGTCCCTGTTGCCTATTTGAGGTGGTTTTGCATAACAAGACGAGAGATATTTTCGATTTACGCCGAGAGGCGTAGCGAAGAGTGCCAAAACACGCGTATAGTCACTGACCCTGTCGGTTTTTCTCAACTTGACTTCAAAACGAAGTTTGTCCGACCTTTTTTTTACATTCTTACAAMACATGCAAAAACACACAAACATTTTTTCGAAAATATCAATAGGATGCTAAACTTAGAATTGTTCTAAAATGTGCGCCATTGCGAGTGCATCCACTGCAGTGCTCGAGGGGATTTGCACCACCCCRCATGATGACGAGAGTGATATTACCACACCTATATTGCGTTAACACCGCTTCGTTTTTGYAGGTGACACGGCGCAGAGACCGCCGGATGGCATGATTTCCGGATATAATTACTTCTTTTATCCGTTGGACAACAAGTTGCTGCAGCAGATACCGCAGACGACGGCGATGTCGGAACCGGAACCGCCCAAACCGGATAACCAGGCCCCGGCCAAGCCCCGGGTGGAGCCGCTGTTCGTGGCCATGGCCGGATTCGTGGGCGTCGCCGTGGTGTTCCTCAGCGCCCTCATGTTCATACCGATATTGCCGATACACGCGCTCACCTCCAAGGCGGCTCTGAAACGTGCACCCGAAGAGTTGGCCTCGCTCACTAAGCTCGTCGCCGAGTCCATCGACGGCAAAGACTGCAGCGAGAGGATAGCGTGCGAGGTCGGCAGGGCCATGCGGTCCATGCGGGTGGGCAACAAACCCATCAGGTAATACATTCGTATTTTTTATTTACAATCCGCTACAAATGTTGAAATAATATTATGTTAAATTATTTATAATAATGACAAAATTAGATAACATTATAATAGTGATGTTAAAAATACATAATCGAATAAACGTTTTACATTGAGTATAGTTAGATAAACGTCATATAAACACGGTATATATATTATATATATATATATTTAAAACAAGTAAGAACATATTATAATGTAAGACCTTATGTTTTAGAAGCATCATGATTGGGATTTTTAATACTTAGACAAAYGCATTATAATCATCTTACGGTAAGATTCTTACCTATACCTCGTACTTAGTTCCTACTGTATGTCTGTATAACAAAACTATCGGAGTTTAATTTCTCGAATACTGTAGTGTGATTTTATAACTCTATTATTGAAGTTTAATGACTTAATGTGTTCGCAAAAAAACAATATCTATGTTTTGATAATAATTGTCACTTATGAATGTTCATTTTATTGATTTCCTCATAATTTTATTATTTTTTGTGCTGTGGCTACGCGTTAATTGCTCCACCAAAAAGTCATCGCACGAAACCATCATTTGATTTTGTTATAGACGGTTTGGTAATAATTAATTTAGTCAATTGCTGTTTCAAAATTAAATTGAAAAACGTTTGAGAGAACCACTTTAGCGCGATAACAATTTATTTATACCTACTTTTTGAATAGACGTCAAATTATTATCCAACTTTTCATTCATTAAATTAAACATCAAATKGGTATGTAATTTAATGTATCAAAGGTGAAATCGACTTTCGRATAAGTGTCACTAGACGTAGGTCAAACTACACAATAAAAGTGACGGGTATAGTGTTTATACTCAACAAATATATTTTTTATTTAACGATCGAATTATTCTTTTTATGGTTTTTCTCGTGTTTTGGTTATCTTACCTAGTAGGTACTAGGTAGGTACTTGACCGGAGTTATACGATTTTATGTGAAAATCGTAAAATTAATAAAATCCAATTCTGTTTTTCAAATAATGTTTATTTTTCTTAAGATTAAAATTCAGAAATACAGTCACTAAAATTATAAAAAGTAAAAATAATATTATTAAAATTAAATTTTTTGTTTAATCGACTTTCGACGAATGCCACGATAGCTATAACATTTTAACACATAATATTATAATATTTTTAAATATAAAATATAAACGACTGCCACGAGTGCCACGGATTCAGTAGACGGTAGGCAATTGCCAATGAATGAAAACGTGATTCAAGACCCAAAAGCTTAAAGTATCGAATTCCATGAAATTATGATAACAGTTTTCATTTTCGAAGTTTGTTTTTCGTGGTTTAGTGGTTTTGACAGAAGTGTTAGTTTTTTTGCATATAATTTGCAGGATATTTCAAACATTTATTATTTTTTTTTTTTTATTACAGAATGATGGAAATAATACTACCCCCAGCGGTGGCCAAACAGCTAGCTCAGATAAGAAGATCTGCTTCAAAGAAAGAACAGTGTCATTTCATCATGTGCAAAAAGACTGAGGGTACATTGCAATTGGTGGCAAAACTAAAGAAAACCAATCACAATAAAACTATTCACGATGTTAGAGAAATTTTTAACATATAAAACACACCGTTCTTGGAGATGAATTTAATTTAGATATTAAGTAAATTATTCTATGTTTTTAAGATTACTTAAAGATATGTATTATATATATGATTGCATTTCAGTTAT